GGGGGGGGGGGGGGGGGGCGGAGAATGGGGAGGGGACAGATCTCCAGTGGGTCCAAAACATGCTTCACTTGGAGTCTCATAGATGAACATCCGCTCTGACGAATTCAGAGTATGATAGAGGCTTCTCCTCCAAGGGAAGGGATCTTATGTCCATGTTTATATGTAGAACAGCAACTTTTTATCGATAAAGTGGCAGAAAGAAGGGAAGGATGTGTACTTAGCACTTGGAGCCTGGAGGCCACTTGCATGGGGAGGGGAGTGGGCACTGTGTTCTCCAAGAGACGGGCTGTGCAGGCTGGCGGATACCAGGCCTCTCCTCGGGGCCTGTGCCGTAACGGAGCTGGGCTACCCCCCCCACCCCTCCTGTGCACCGTTAAGAGGGGCCCCGGAGCGGTCCTGAGCGGAGGGCACCAGCTCACGACTCCACGCCTGAGACTCGTGCTTCCGTGTACACAAGCTCGTGGGTCTGAGGGAGCGCAGGGGCGTAGCCGTCCTCGGAGCGCGCCCGGCACCAGAGGGGAGGGGGGCACCGGGGCCAGGGCAGGTGTGGGAGGCGGGGCGGGGGGAAGAGTGGGACAGCGGGAGGGACCCCCTATCTTGTGACGGGCGAGGGGAGTGTAACGCGTGTGCCGGTGTATTTATTGGGTTGTTTTGCGGCAGATTACATCATGGTCCTCGAAACAGAAATCAGAAATCTGAAGCATAAATTTAAAACCCTGGAAGGACAGGTAGAAGATGTGTTAGATCCTTCGAAGATGTCCTCATCTCACTCTGACGTTCAAGCCAGCGTCCACATCTTGGCCGAAGTGCCTGGTAAGAGTCCTTGTCTTGTCCTGTTGAATGCTTTGTTCCAGAAACACTCTGGTTTCTGCATCTGTTTTACATTGGTTTAATTGAAATATAAACTCCCAGAAAGTCCACAAAATGCAAACGCACGCATCAAGGAAAGATCGCAAACTACAGGTCCCCCCCCCGACCCTTCCCGGCACCCAGGAGTCCCCATGCCACCCATTCTCAAAGTGTTTACACTCATTTACCTCTCCGGGTGGGCACCTCCCTGCCCCACCCCTGCTCTGGCGCCACGCAGACACCCCCTTGCCCGGCTGGGCGCTGGCCCGGTGGAGAGCCCTTCTAGGGGGATGGACGCATCCCACCGGCTGGTTTCTGGGGCTGACTGTGTAGGAAGACAGGTGAAGGAGTGGGATGCTCCACCTACGGATCAGCTCGTCTCCAGCCAGGGGCCTGCTTGCGTTCCCAGTGCTGGCATCTTTTATGTCTTTTCCTTATATTACTTTTCCAGGTCAGAATCTCCAGTATGGTGTTGGTAATGGCTGACTTTCTTCCTGACTCCAGAGAAAATGTTCAACATTTGACTTTAAAGCCGCTAAAGGTTTTTTGGAGCACAGGGCCAGATTAAGGAAGTTCCTTTCTATTCCTGCTGTAATACATGGTTGTTTTTTATCATGCTTCTGCCAGTTTTTGCTTACTGTGTTTTGGAGCTTTGTTGTTGGTTGCATACACGTTTAGAGTTTCTGTGTTTGTAAGAGGGGACCGGCCCTGATAGCATCACGTAATGATCCTCTTTACCTGTTAGGGGTGCAGTGCTCTAAAGCCTGCTCTGTCTAGTGTTAATCACATCACTCCAGCTTCCTTTTGATTAGAGTCTGCTTGGTGTATCTTTATAATCCTTTAACTTTTAACTCCTTATATTGTGGTAAAGTCCCCTTCCTAAGGAAAAATCAAATACCTCAAGGTAACCTGGCTATGTGTGTACATGACAACATCCCTCATGACCTTGTAACATGAGACCACTTAATCAGAGTGCGTGTTTGCATGTTACCTTATATGGGAGACAAAGAAGTAGAAAATATGTAAAAACTATGCCACGTGGCATTCAGGGGCTCATTTCTTCGGGTACAAACCCAACTGAACAGTGCTAGCACAAATAAAGTTGCTTCCCGGAAAGAAAACCTGGGTGTCAGACTCTCTGTGTGAGAATCTTGCTACAGCATCACATTTGAAATGAATTTCTTGTAGCAGCATATAGGCAGGTCAATTTTTAAAATCCATTTTGCGGGGCGCCTGGGTGGCGCAGTCGGTTAAGCGTCCGACTTCAGCCAGGTCACGATCTCGCGGTCCGTGAGTTCGAGCCCCGCGTCAGGCTCTGGGCTGATGGCTCGGAGCCTGGAGCCTGTTTCCGATTCTGTGTCTCCCTCTCTCTCTGCCCCTCCCCCGTTCATGCTCTGTCTCTCTCTGTCCCAAAAATAAATAAACGTTGAAAAAAAAAATTAAAAAAAAATAATAAAATCCATTTTGCTAATTACAAAAAATTTTTTTTCAGTTACGGTTTTCATTTTTTTAATGTTTATTTTGAGAGAGTGCATACATGCAGGGAAGAGGCAGAGAGAGAGAATCCCAAGCACACTTCATGCTGTCAGCACAGAGCCTGATGCGGGGCTCGATCTCACGAGCCATGAGGTCGTGACTTGAGCTGAAATCTAGAGTCAGACGCTCAACTGACTGAACCACCCAGACAGCCCCATTTTGCTAATTTTTTTTCTCATTTGCTAATATTTTTAACTGATAGGATTTATATCATCCACACTTAACAGTTATTGTCGTGTTGATCTGAGCAGCTGCTTCCTGCCCGCTTTCTGGCCCAGGTGTCTTCTTTCCTGTGCCTGTGGGTCATCCGAACATTGTTTGTGTTCCATTTTAATGTATGTGTTGTTTCTGAGTGTATCTGTCTGGGCCCCGGGGATCACAGCACGGCCATGTGACCTCTCGCAGCCACCTCCCGTCAGCACCATCCTCCTGCCGTCAGGCCCCGTCCCCGCGTTGCTGTCGTAAACGTCACCTCTCCTATGTGGGGAACTGCTTCAGTCAGGATTAGCATTCTTGCTTTTAATTGTCAAACATAATTTTATTTGTTTATTTATTTATTTACTTATTATTATTATTTTTTAATGTTTATTTTTGAGAGAGAGAGAGAAAGAGCTACAGAATGCAAGCCAAGGAGGGGCAGAGAGAGAGAGGGACACGGAATCTGAAGCAGGCTC